TCCATTGTGTTTCCATCTTCTCATCAAATCCTTCTATTGCATCGTCGAGATCTAACTGTGCAAGAACATCCCGAATCTTTACCTGTCATAGTGAGAACCTGGTGTTTCGATCCGACAACAGAATATCATACTTCATTGTTGCCATAATCTTGAACCCGAATTTCTGATACCAGTTTATTATAATATCATAACAATGATTATTAGCAAACAAATATATACGATCGAAAAGGAAAAAACGAAGAACACCAGGATTTACGTGGAAAACCCAAAAGGAAAAAGCACGGGCATAAGAGAATAATTACACTAATATGAAGGAAGAAAATACAAGAGGATTTTGGTGAAAGAAAAACTTGATTTCTAACACTGACCCTTAGTATCTATTTATAGGGATAGATACTTGATTATAAAGGAAAACTTAATAAAGTATAAATCTACTTGAATAAAGTTTCTACTTTTAATCAAACTAGGTTTCCTAGTTTCTGAATATTTATATATTAATTAATTTGAGTTACTTTGAATTCGAGTCAAACTTTAACATGGTCACAGTTACATGCCAGGCCTCTCGATCCGTAAGCCGTTAAAACGTATAGTCGTGCAAGTTTATTTGATCAAAATGGAGCCACTTGATTGCTTCGCCCAATTTTCTCACCCCTGCAACCAATGCTGGGCTATGAATAAGTTGGTATTATGTTTAAACAACCAGAGCTGATGTTTGAGTGAATGTAACTCCGTCAAGAATGCTACAAATGGAGTTTTCAGTGTAGAAATAACTTTTTCTGTCATCCAATTTGTACGTGATTAAAAACAAAATAATACTAAATATCCATATATATTACGAATGCTATGTTTTAAAAAAACATTAAAAGTCCTTGCAAAGAAGTTTAGTACTACCTACCTAAAAAAATTAAAATTAAATATTTCCACCTTCCCCATTCTAATACAGTTACTGACATTGTCGTTGACATCAATAATACGCTCATTCAATCATAACAACTTAAAAAACTAAATGGTTATTTATTATAGTTAATGACAAGTAAATTAAAGAATAATATTAACTAAATTAAATTATAAATAAAATGAACAAATTCTTAACCTTCTAAATGAAACAACTTCACCAAAGTGCAGCATGTTTTGAACGAGTGGCGGAGACTCGCAGTCATATACTTGTATTTCTTTTTCGAGTTTTCTCTTTGAACGAGCGGTGAAAATTGTGAATCTAATTGAATTCGCATAATTTTTTGTGCACTAATATGCTAGTGAAGTTTTAAAAGTAATAAATTAGTCACTAATATTATTGATTTTGTAATAAATTAACTATTAATGTTATCGATTTGTAACAAATTGATCTCTTGACGCTAACATAATAATGGAAAACTGACCTGAACTGCTAACCACTTACTTGACCTGTTGACCAGTCACCTATTCAATTTTAAATAAAAATTCATTTTCGTTTTATTTTATTTTATTCATTTTCTCTCTCTAGCTTACTAATATGAACAGACTGCTATTCTCACACTACTACCAGTTATGAATTCCGACGTGAAACCACCACAACCGTCTCAGCCCCACCGTCCCTCTACCTACCTCCTGTGACCGTCACCCTCAAGCATTATACCTTTAGATTTGCTTAATGCACATATGGTTGAATTATACCATCCTTTGAATTGCTACTGTTTCTTGACTTCAACGAACATTGTTTCAAGCATTAATTTTCCATTATTAAAGTTTGAGGTGATAGTGCAAGACTTTTCATTAAGAAAAGAATAATGGGTAACTAAGTGAGATAGGGTGCCGATTCAAGGATTATGCAAAGTGCCAATGCAAAGCCTAAAAAGGAGAAAAGAGAGAGAACATTGCTAAAATATGTGTTTAAGCTAGCAACAGGGAGAAGGGGAGGTAGCTAAGCTAGCATCAGAGGAGTGAATACATGGCTAGCTGTTGCATGGCATCGGCTGCTTCGGTGTTATTGCGAACACCCGATATTTCAAGCTCGGCAGCTTCCAAGACCAACAACATGGTCTTTTACCCTTAAAAAAACAACAAAAATTCAAGGCTTGTTGCGAGGGCGGTTGAGGAGGAGGCTTCACTGTCGTCTCCAGCCCCCAGCAACCACCAGTGCATCACCAGAAGGTGGCGAAGCCCCGAAGCCTAAGACACCTCCAATTGGACCAAAACGAGACACCAAGGTCAGCACTTGGCACCTTCAAACAATTTGTCTGATAGCTTAAACACAATATATCAATTATATATATATATATATATATATATTTGACGTATTTTAACCTTCTTCCTTCTGCCCTCCCACCAAGCGGCCATAGAATTTGCTAAGGCACTTCCCAGCTATGAGTGCATACTGGTTGACATTATGGGAAATGATTACCAGTGCCTACCTTCGTCAAGTCGTGATTTGTTGCTTATGGTACCACATTTTATTTTACTATCTCAAAACTCAAAGTTATAGCTTTATTATTGACAATGATAAGGTTCCATGAAATTTAGTTTAGTCTTTTTATTAATCAATTATAATATACGATAAATATTTAAAAGTGTCTCTCTCTAACTTAGCTTTTAAGTTAAGTAACTTGTAAAGAATCCATGTCAAGTACTGGGAGAAGAGGAGAAATGCTGGCAGCTTGGATTTCTTTTGAAGGAGAATATCAACTATGTATGCACTATGCATGCTCATCGTTGGAGTTGAAAAATCAGAAAAAAAACATGTGGGAACTTAAGAAATCAGAACTTGGAGAATGAACTTGTCCATCAACACAAAAACCCCTTTTGAGAAGCACTCTTTAAATGAGAACATTTAAAAGTGGAAGCAAAGAGAACATTTACCATCCCTCCAACAATGAAGGATTATGATGTTTGAAGGTGGAAGAAAAATGAACAGCGGTTCTACTTGAAGTCTTAACTTGTCATTTTCTTTAAGATGATTATTAAACTTATTCTTAATACCAGATTTTTAAAGTTGAATCTGAAAAAATTTAGATTTGGGTTTGGTGAAAACAAAGAAGTAAACTAGCAATGCAATATTTTTCATTTTGTTTTGTTTTTCAATGATATTTTTATTAAATGAGTCAAAGGCTGGTCAATCAGTGCCAAATAAGTCAGCTTAATCTGCCAAAATAGTTTTCTATAACAACGAGCGACCGATTTAGTATAAATTGATAACGTTAGTGATCAATTTGTTACTTTTGAAACTTTAGTGAGGAAAACGAAAACTTATTAAAATATTAGTGATCATTTATGTAGTTTACCCTACTTTTTTTTTTAAAAAAAAAGTTAATTACATGATTGATCAGTTTGTGTTTTGTCCACTTTTCCTCACTGATTTCAAAACACATAATATATGATCACTATCATTTTTATTTAATTAAGATGTAGTCACAATGAGCTAACTTCCGTTAATAATTAACATATTAAGTGACGTAACAGTTAATATTTTAGTATAATCACACATTTGGTCTCTGTTATTTATATATTTTCTCAATTTAATCTTAATTTAATAAATTAAAATAAATTTAATCCTTAAATCGAATGCTGACATGTGTCACTGGTGCCACCTATCACCATTCGGTTGAAGGATTGACTTTATTTTAATTTAATATATTTATTTTACATAATTTAATTTTTAAATAATATAGATCAAATGTGTGATTATATCAAAATATTTAATTGTCACGTCGCCTAATCTGTTAACTGTTAACGGCAGTTAACCCGTGATGATCACATCTTAATTAAATAAAAATAAAATTAATCATATCTTAATTAAATAAAAACAAAAAGTGACAATATATTTTGTTTTTTACTTAATACAAAAAATAAGTGCCTACACTATGCTTCAAAAAACGTTTTAGCGCCTAAATATTTTTTCGCTAAACATGTCTAATGTTTCAAACGTTATGTTTTCAGGTGCTCGGACGTTGACCTCCGTTAAATATCTTCGATAAGTGACACGTGTCATGTTATGACAATTTTGAAAATTTAAATTAAAAAAAACAATACCCCTAAACCCCCTCGGCCTTTCAATAGGTCGCTAGCCAGCTGGAGTTGACCATTACCGCCACCATCATCGGCATCAGTGTCGACCCTCGATAAAACTCCCATTGACCTTTCGTTGTAACATGCCATTGTTTACCGTAAAGAAGCATTCAAAAGTTCGTCGATTTTTAAGCTACTGTTACCGTTTTTCCTCGATTCCGGTTGATTCCGACGTCCATAAGTCATACCGCTGCCACCATTCGAACCACCATGCTATTCCAATCAAAACCCAACCATTCGACAACGACGATAATGGCCGGACATGGCCGCGACCGTTTGGGTTAGGAAATTGAAATTGGGATTTAAGGATTTTTTATCACGGTAAGGACAACAGTTGATCAATGGGTGGGTGGCGACGGGTGGGTGACCGTTCGACGATGGCGATGGTGGCCGGAGATGGTTAGCGATGATTGATAATTGGGTTGAAATGAGAGATTTTAATTTTTAGGGTTTTTTTATAATTTCAGTAAAAATGATTTTTTGTAAATAAGTTAATTTTTTTTTCTAATTAAAAATAATATTTTTATTATTAAAAAAATAAACGATGAGCACCTAAAAGTATAACTGAGAAAACGTTAAACATCTATTTTTCATAATTTAGGCCCTTATTTTTGTATTAAGCCTATGTTTTTTTGAAATCAGTTTAAAAAAAAAAAGTGGTTGGCGTGATTCATATATTAGCAAAATGGTGTATTTGATAAAGAAACCAATGAGTGAAACAACAGCCTTCAAAATAGCTTTAGAAAACTTAGCAGAGCAACCTCTTTCACTGAAGTATTAATCATTCCCTCTTCTCTTACTTTGAATCTGATGAAACCAACAACTAAACACATACATATACAAATCACTATCAACAAAAAGGGAAAACCATTCATCGTTAAACCACACACTTTACCCAGAAATTACATTTTTCGCATGTTATTAACGAAGACCGAAACAGTCTTTTATGGTACAAAACAGATTGCTGTATGCTGATATTCAAACTCCAAACCTACCGAATGTTGAACTTTAACGATGATTACATGAACCGACTGAGCTAACATCCAAGATTCGAAGATGATTTATTTCGTATTTGTCATCTCTGGGTTACGATTCTCGGGAAAAAGTATTTAACAATGCAAAACAAGTGACAAACTGTTCAAGAGAACAAAGTGATCAAACTTCATATCCAGGGTTTACTTTCTGTTGAACATCTCCATAACTTTCCAACTCATCTATATCTTCACAGCTACCCAAAAAGAGAGGCAATCTTTGATGCAATTTCACTGGTTGGATCGAAAGAATTCTACGTTTACCATCCGAACCTTTTCCTCCAGCTTGCTCCGCAAGAAAACTGAGAGGACTTGCCTCGTAAACCAGTCGCAGATGATCCCTTGGATTCATTGCTATTCCACCATACAAGAGAGTCCTATGGAAATCAGCAACCAACGAACATATATAGCGAGCTGAATATTTCTTTGGGTATTTGCCTTTGCCTTGTCTCACTGTATCAATATATTGCCTTAGACCTTCAGGCCAATCGAAATACCGCGCATCGTTGACAGAATATATTTGGCCTGCAATCATCGATATAGGCAGTTCACTAATCATCAATTGGATCGAAAGAAATCATTATCACTTTCATACAGTAAAGAGTTCCCGCTTAATCAAACTGGTAACAAAGAGCGTCATCGGCATGAAATCCAAAGATTCTATGAAATTAATGAAGCAGATATCAGACATATCTCATCAGAAAGATCATTAATTGGATTGAAAGAAATCAGTATCAGTTTCTTACTCTCAATTCTCAAAAATCTCTTGTTTGCAAACAATAAAGATTTCCCATTTAATCAAACTGCTAATGAAGACCATCACCAGTAAGAAATCCAAACAAATCTCATCTAAATTGATTCATAACAAGAACAATTTAACTGTCAAGACATTGGTATATTACCTCGAGGCGGAATTCTAATGCTAGGATGTGTGAGAATAAAGTCTCCTGTTGAATGATCCAAGGTAAATGCATGTGTCCCCGAGCCAAAGCTAGCACATAGAATCGTGGCAGATGAATAGAGGACATAGCCGGCAGCTACGAGCTTCGTCCCGCTCTGTAGCGAATTAAGCAATGCCTTCTCTTCCACAGGTTGATTATCGAGCTCCGTGAGCCTGTTATATATCCCAAAGATTGTTCCAGTAGGAATGGAAGCATCTATATTTCGAGAACCATCGAGGGGATCCAATACCACCACAAAGGGACCATCATCATTGATCCAAATTGGACCATCATCTTCCTCTGATGCCATGACTGAAGCTTTACCTGAATTTCTAAGAGATGACAACATGATTTCATTCTGCAGAAATTAAAAAAATATAAAAAAAAACTAAATTAGCAGATCACAAGACTTTAAGTCCTTTTTCCCTATACAATTGCAAACCAAAATTTCAACAGATTACATTCTTTAAAATCAAACTATTTCTGTATCAAATTCAATCTCTCACCCTGAAATTACTTGCTAAAGAGTCTTGACAACACACTAAAACCAGTTGCAATGATTTAATCATTCATAATATTAAAAGTTCATGTAACTTAAACTACTTAAGGGGAAAAAGAGAGCAAAATTTATATGATGAAATTAGCATAGTAAAACATACTGCCACAAGATCAAGCGGTTTCGGCTTATCCCTATCAGAAGAAGCGGCTCCGGAGAGAGCTGAATGTTTGGCGAGAGCAGAATTAAAGGGAGAAGCCACAAGAGCAGCAATTCTCTTGCAAGCAAATTGTAAATGGTAAAGCAAAACAACTAAGTCATCTCCCACATCTAGTCCACCTTTCCCAACATAATCCATCAGCGAAGAAATCCCATTTCCACCATAACCAACAGAAGTCATTTCCATCTGCGCCTTGGCTAAAAACCCGGAAAAAGAAGCCATTTTTGGTGGGGTGTAAAAGCTCAACCTTTCCCTAAGAAAAGAGTGGGGTTTTGGAGGGAAAGGACTGGAAGTTATATGGAAAAAGGGAGATGGATACGAGATTGTGGGAGACAATAATTGTTGCATATTAGAAGTTGATGAACTGGTAATCGGAAATGGAATGATGAAATCATCTCATATCAAAACTTTGAGGATTAAAGATCGAATCTTTCAAAGGAGCTTAAGGATTTTGGTCGGAGAAACGGTGGAAGGACAAAAAGGATTGAAAAACGTCAGCTGAGGAGGTTCGGTTATCTAAGTTCTTTTCAAGATAACGCTATCCAAATATGTTTGTTGCCCCGGCTTATTAAGTGAAAATAGATAAAGTTTTTGAAGTATACGGGCTGAGTATTTGTTTGGGCAAAAATGTCAGAATAATGCACAGGGGATTGTCTTCGGAAAGGTCGACTAATATACGATTAATATATGACGTTATTAGATATATTAAAATATATTTGATAAATTTAGTTTAGCGCTATCGGAAATATCGAGTAATAATAATGTAATAGGTGGAAATCATGAAGAAATATTAAAAAATTTGGCAACCGGCAAACTTAGCTTGTCGGTTTGTGTCGATACTTTATAAAAATATATTGATCCATAGCAATATAAAAAGTAAAAAAATGATAAAACCGGTCTATAAATGACAAAACAGGTAAAGCGCTAACGGATATATTGAAAGTGTCGATACTTTATAAAAATGTATCTATCCATAACAATATAAAAGGTAAAAAAATGACAAAACTGGTCTATAAATGACAAAACAGTTAAAGCGCTACCAGATATGTTGATAGTGTCGATACTTTATTGTAAGTATCGACACTTTTGGAATTTAAAAGAAAAAAAGTTATAGCGCTAATAAAGTGTCGATACTTTATAAAAATGTATCGATCCACAACAATATAACAGGTAAAAATATGACAAAATTAATCTCGAAATGACAAAATTGATAGTAAAAAAATGTGCTTGTATGATCATTTTTATTTTAGAATTTTCATTTTTTAATACAAAAAGTTGGATATTTTAAGCAAAACCCAGTAAGAAAATAACAAAAACTTTACAGTAACAAAATAATAACATTGGGAAACCCACCATGTTATTAGTTTCTCAAAGTACAAAAACTCAGAAACAAACATCTCTCAACGCAAACTTATGATATACTCTTATTATATCCATAGGATAAAGTTAGGTCAGTTTTAGTTTCTTAAAGAATAAACTTATGAATGAAGAACTCAAACTGGTGCACGCATAAGTGTTGATGCATTTATGAAAAGTATCGATTCAAAAAACATCGAAATCGATAATTATTATGTAACAGGTAAATTTACAATGTAACCGGTAAAAATATACTGGTTAATTAGCAAATAGGTTTACATTATGTATCGACACTCTTTAAATATATGTCGATATTTTTTTCCCAAAATGAAAGCACAACGACGTGCACGCATAAAGTGTCGATACATTTAAAATTGTATCAATCCCAAAAACATCAAAACCGATAATTATAATGTAATAGGTAAATTTGTAATGTTACCGGTTTAAATATACCTGTTTAGTTAGAAAATAGGTCAATATAAGCGCTACCTAATATATTATTGTACTTGATAATATTTCCGGTTAAATGATATAACATAACCAGTCTAAATTTTAACCGGTCACTTGTTTAACAGGTCACGCCGTTTTTAGCCGTTTTTTAGGCGCCGCACAGTAGAATCACCCATCAGAATAGACCTAATAATTATATCAATAATGTATGAGGGCCCGAAAACGTGAGATTGCGTAAGGAATAGGTTTAATAATTAGACTAGGGTTGTAAATGAGACGAGACAGATCGCGAGCTATTCGAGATCGACTAGATCAAGGCTCGATAAATACTCAGATCGAATGGACTCGACTCGAGTTCTTAACGAGCTGAAACGAGCTACTCGATATTCGACTCAAAAAGCTCGTGAGCAGCTCGAAAATATAATATATTAAGATTTTATTTAAAAAAATAAATTAATAATAATATTAAGATTTTATTTTAAAAAATAAATTAATAATAATATTAAGATTTTATTTAAAAAATAAATTAATAATAATATTAATTTTTATGTATTAATTTTTTTTAAATACAGTAAGATTTCATGTATTTAAGGTTCATGTTCGAGTTTGAGGCTTCAATTGAGTTAAGTTTAAGAATTTTTTTTTTCATTTCGAGCCTTTTCGAGCTGCTCATGAGCTTCAGTTCAGGATTTCGAGTTCGAGTCGAGCTTGAAAATTTTAAGCTCGCGAGTTTTCGAGTCGAGTCGAGCTCCAATTCAGAGTTTTCGAGTCGAGCTCAACAATACTTGAGCTTGACTCGGCTCGTTTACACCCCTAAATTAGACCAATAATACATGCATCAACTTGTTATAAAATAGGGGTGGGGATTGTATTTCATTGCATGCATGAATTGATTTTAATTTACAGAAATAAGTGAGGATCGTCAACAATTTTTTTTTGTATTAGTTTCAATTGGAGCTGCTGCTTGAAGTGAGTTTTCAGTGATATTGAATATTTTTGTGAGTTTTAAGTGATATTGAATATTTTTGTGAGTTCGATAATTTTCCAAATTTTGGTTTAACATTGTTCAAAAACATGTAAGTTCTCTCTCTTTTCCCATGTGAACTCCGTTTATTTTTTCCTGTCGACATCTTTTTTCGCCTGGGCAGGGAAAGACTGATACCGACTCGGAGGTTTTCTCTTTGAAAATCGTTTCGAAATGTGAGGAGTTGCCACCAATCATTTAAGGTGAGATTGGAAAATCGTAAAAAACCGGGTGATTTTAATAAATCTTTTATTTTAATAAAATACTGAGTTTTGGGGTCTGTGAAAAATCCAGAAATTAGGTTCAGGAGTCAGTTATGCGTGGGGAAGGTTTAGCACCCCCACAAGCGCCCAAATATTGGTACCTAGTTGATTACCCTATATTTAAAATCGAAAATTTTGAGTTCGATCTTTATTTAATTTAAAAATCATTAAGAATGCAAAGTTTGAAAAGGGTATTCGTTTATTGAGACCGATAGCATTCTCCCCCAAGCATAAATGCGGAAGATCAACTATTGTGTCTAATAACCGAACATTGCCTCGTTTTTAGAAAACATTATACGATTTTGAAAAGGATGTCGACCTATTTAGGAAATCACCAGTAGTCACCCCCTGAACGTGATCGCGGGAGATATACTATTAATTCCTTAAATAAGTAAACATTGACATAGGATGAGCTTTTCACCAGGTAAGCATGGACGGATTCCAGCTAGAAACTTCCTGGGTTAGTTGCCCCCATAAATCATATTGATTGACAGTCATTTCAGAGCTTCGCCTGTCATCTCGGTTTCGATGGCGCTAGTCAACTTTTGTTCTGTGTTGTACACTCCTCCAAATTTGAAAGAACTCTTTAGGGGAGGAAAGGACATGCATTCTCTTGAGACATCCTCTCCTTTCAGTCTGGCCTTTCTCGCCTCATTCTTTTTCTTCATTTCTTGACCCCGTTGCTGGAATGTGGGCTTAAATCCGCTGCTAGAATGAGCACTCCATGGTGTCCTCATTGATGTCGATATACAGGTTCTCAGACGTTACAGAAGCTATGCTTTCTTGTTCAATCCCAATGCTGACCAATCTTTCATCAATTACGAACTTTAGCTTCTGATGCAGGGATGAAGGAACAGCCCCTGCCGCATGGATCCAAGGTCTCCCTAACAAACAGTTATATGTCGGGTGGATATCTTTTATCATAAAATCAACATTGTAAATAACATGCCCGATCATTAAGGGTATTTCCATCTTTCCCATCACGTCCTTCTGGTTTCCGTCAAATGCCCGACGATGCTATGATACGCTCTCATGTGTGAGCTATCAATGGGCATCCTTTGCAGTGTAGCTAAGGGCATTACATTCAGTGCTGACCCATTATCTATAAGAACCCTTGGCAGGACATGACCGTGGCAGTGCACCGTGATGTTTAAAGCCTTAATGGATCCCATCCCACCTTCCGGGATCTCATCATCAGTGAAGATAAAATAGTTGTCAGCAGCTATGTGTTCCACAATTCGGTCCAATTTATTCGTCGAGATATCCTCAGGAACAAACGTTTGGTTGAGCACTTTTAGCAAGGCATTCTGATGTACTTCGGAATTGATCAAAAGATCCAAGATTGAGATTTTTGCATGTTGTTTGTGAAGCTGCTCCACTATACTGTATTCACTGTGCTTAAGAAACCTAAAAAACTCACAACCTTGAGCTTTAGTCACAGGCTCGTTAATCATCGGTGGAGGTTCTTCATTGAAATTTTTTGGCACTACGACGGCTTTGGCTTTTATTTTTCCTTTGTCTACCTCGGGGGACGTTTCTGGTGAGTAGCATCTTCCACTTCGTGTGAAATGCCCCACCTTACCTACTTCTTCTGAGCTTGATTTATTTTCCTCGTTTATTCTTTCAGACATCTTGGACCCCTCCGATATTGATACATTGGTTGCATAGCTCCAAGGAACCTGTTGGGTATCCTTGAATGGGAAGGGGGACAAAGTTGTAATCACCACTCTTGGAGTTGTTGATGATGATCCCTCTTGTCCATGATTAACTGTAATGAATATCGGCCTTCTCGTCCCCGTCTATTTCTCGTGGTTTCTCCTCCTTATTGAAAAATTCCACTTCTCCGTTATCCATAATTTTTTGAAGCAATTCTCGAAATTCAGGACAATTTTGGATATCATGGTCGTCAGTTTGGTGATGTTCGCAATATGTTTCTCGTTCTAATGGCCTTGATTCAGGATTATCCTTAATCATTCCCGATGTACATAGCTTCCTGAACACCCAACAGAGGAGAGATTTGACTTCCGATACATTTCTCTTGGTCGTCATGATCTCTCATTCTTCGACCATATTGATTCCTTTCCCCCCATGATTGGGCATAGGGTGAGTATTTACAGCTGGTGTTTTGAATTCCAAATCTCCAGCGTTGATAAGGTTTTGTACAACCTTCTTAAAATGCGGGCAGTTCTCGATATCATGCCCAACAATCCCTGCGTGGTATTCGCAGTGAGCATTGGCATTATACCAGTGAGGGTAAGGTGGCTGCATCGGAGTCAATTTGTATGGGCGTATTAATCTACCTTCAAGAGCGAGACGTAGATTTCTGAATATGGTACTGGCACTGGTGAGAAAGTCAGTCTTGTATTCTCCCTTTTCTTCCTTATATTTTTATGGGTGTTGGACCTCTCCACCTTAGGTTGAGGAA